CCTGCTCCAGCCAGGTGCCAGGTGGCTCGTCAAGGGCACCTAGGCCTGTCGCCTGCATCCGAGTCCTTGGCACTGGCACTATGATGTGGGAGCAGCTCCTAGAATCATTTGGTTTATTGTGTTCCTGCTCTGTATTTTAGGACCTGGGAGAATGACAAAAGCTCTGCCACTTTTTTTTTTTTTTTTGAAAGTCAGATATACAGAGAGGAGGAGAGACAGAGAGGAAGATCTCTGTCCATTGATTCACTCCCAAAGTGGCTGCAGTGGCCAGAGCTGAACCAATCCAAAGCCAGGAGCCAGGAGCCTCTTCTGGGTCTCCGATGCAGGTGCAGGGTCCTAAGGCTTTGGGCCGTGCTTGACTGCCTTGCTAGGCCACAAGCAGAGGACTATATGGGAAGCAGGGCCTCTGGGATTAGAACTGATGCCCATATCGGATCCCAGCACATTCAAGGTGAGGACTTAGCCACTAGGCTACCACGCCGGACTCCTGACTCATTCTTGTTCTTGCTATAATTCCCCTTTACTTTCATTGCTCATAGGTTCTAGGAACTTGGTGGGTAGTGGTATGGGTGGAATGTCTTGAATAAAATTAGTTCATTCCATCCCATTATCACATGAAGGAAAAAAACCCTTTGCTCTTTTTTTTTTATTAACTTAAAGATTTATTTATTTGTATTGGAAAGGCAGATTTGCAGAGAAAAATAAGGAGAGAAAGAACTTCCATCCATTGGTTCACTCCCCAAGTGGTAGCAAGAGCTGGAGCTGAGTTTACTTGAAACCAGGAGCTTCTTCTGTATCTCCCAAGGCTTTGAGCTGTCCTCAGCTGCTTTCCCAGGCCACAAGCAGGGAGCTGGATGGGAAGTGGGATAGCTAGGGCACAAATTGGTGCCTAAATGGGATGCTGGTGCTTATAGAGTGTTAACGAGTTAAGCCATTGTGCCACCCCATAAAGAAACCTTTGAGAAAGCAGGAAACACTTTTAGGATTTAAGTATCTTCTCCCATCCCCTCACTCTTTGACCTTCCTGTTAGCTTCTTAGTTACCCCCTCCTTCCATGTGCCTTTGCTAGGTATCACAGCCAACTAGTAGCTGCCAGGACTTGAACTGATGCCCATGGCAAGTGGAGACTTAGCTTGCTGCACCACTGTGCCGGCCCTACAGACTGTTTTATAGACAGTTTGCTTATATCAGACAGGATTTCTGTTATCATTGTTATTAATTTCATTTTGATTAATGAAAATGAGATATACTTATTGCATTGTAATATATATGTTTTTAAAAAAAGATTTATTACTTTTTAAATTGGAAAGTCAGATTTATAGAAAGGAGAGTCAGAAAGATCTTCCAAACGTTAGTTCAACTCCTCAAATGGTCGCAGTGGTTGGAGCTGAGACCCAAAGTCCGAAGCCTGGAGCCTGGAACTTCTTCCAGGTCTCCTACACAGATGCAGGGTCCCAGGCTTTGGGCTGCCCTCTCCTTCTTTCCCAGGCCACAAGAAGGGAAGTGAAGCGGCTGAGACAGGAAACAGCGCCCATATGGGACCTCGTCGCATGCAAGGCGAGGATTTAGTCACTACATTATCGCACTGTGTCCTGTAATAAATGTTTTTTAAAAATATTTCAGTCATAAACCAAAAGGATGATGCATTGAATTATAGTATGCTTCCACCCACACTCACCAATGAATAATTTGTCACACTTGCCTTGTTGTGCTCTCATTCTGCATGCACATACACATATCTTTTTATTTTGAAATGTATCTGTTTGAGACAGCTAGGGACAGTAAGCATCTGCTGGTTCTCTCCTCAAATGCCAGCAGTGGTCTTGTTCCAGTTCTCTTAATGCCACCTAAGAGGCTTGAGCCATCATCTGCAGCCTCCCATGGAGCACATCAGCAGGAAGCTGAATTGCAGTGAAGCTGGGAATTGAGCCCAGAGACTCCAGTATGGGTTGTAGGCATCTGAAGTGGTGACTTTAATCAATGTGTAAAATGCCTATCTCTCCATTTTTACAAGATAAAGAATCCAACTGAACATTTTAATGTAAAAGAAGCAACTAATAAAGGCAAAGATGAAGATATCAAGGGTGGGAAAGATGAGTGTCAGGACTGAGAGCCAAGACTGGAGCTCAGAGAAACTAAGGAGGAGGTGTCACAGAGTCACAATTCTTCAGGTCTTCAACTAAAAAAAAAATGCTCTTCAATACAGGGGCATGGTTGACGCTGGGAACAGAAAGGGGAGGGTGAAATGGTGACGAGGCAGGACTTGAAGAACCTGTGGTGTGTGCTGAATGGGCAGGTGGAGCATTTCCTAAGGAGGAAGGGGCATACAGATGCTGACGGTGCTGGGGACCAAAGATGGCCACAGTGCTGCAGCTGAAGGCGCAGGCTGCCCAGAATCTGGAAGCGTTTCTTGATTCTCAAAATCTGGCCGAGAGGGCTGCAGTGTTTGCTCCAGTTCTGATCCAGCTCCCTGGTAATGTGCCCGAGAAAGCAGTTGGGAACTGTGCAAGTTTTTGGGTCCCTACGCCTACATGGGAGAGTCAGAAGAAGCTCCAGGGTCCTGGCTTGAGTCTGCCCCAGCCCTGGTCGTGGATCTATCTGGGGAGTGAGCCATTGGATAGAAGACCTGGCTGTCCCTCTCCCTGTAACTCTGTCAAAATCCTTAAATTTTAAAAAGCTGATGAAGAAAAAGATGGGGCAAAATGAAATTTTCTGATAGTGACTCTGATGGTAACAAATCCAAAAGGAAAAGAGGTGCTGCTGGCAAACTGGGTGGTTTTGTCAGAGGTCTCAATCCTGGACAGATAGGTGCTGCAGACATGGGAGGGAAACCGAGGCATCTCATGAAATGGGAAGACGCAGGTGCAGATGACTGGTGCCGGAAAAGACTAGTTACTTGGTCAGAGGATCTGAACTTGCTGTTCTTGTCTGGAAGATGAAGCTCAATAAGTGTGTGTGTGTGTGTGTGTGTGTGTGTGTTCTTGTGTTGGATTTACAGCTCTGTGAATGAGCCCACGTGAAGCCAACATCTGTGAATCATGACAGGCAGCAAATCATGGATGATTTAGCCACTCCAGTGAGGACAGCTTACACTTACACTGTAGGCTGCAGCAGAAAGCTGTGGTGCTGGACCTGGTGTTATTTAAGCACTGCAGTATCCCGAGGTCAGGCAGCCTGGTGTAGGTGGAGGGTTAAGTTCCTTGGGAAAGGTAGACAGGGTGGAGAAGAGTGGAGGGAATTGGTGGTAAATATAGGGAATACACATGCTAGCGTTAGCATGTGAGAACAAAGTGGGGCTTGGAGGTAGAGGGTTTGGAGAGGTAGGAAGTGGTGGTGGGAGTGATGGAGGCCACCACAGCTGAGTTCCTTCCTTCCTGCTTTATCTGAGGAGCAGAGAGGCCGGCAGACACTCCCCAGGGACCCCACCATGGAAAATTCCTACCCCTGGCCTGGCAGCTGTCAGGCCGTAGGTGAAGCAGAGTTTCTCTGCCTAAGTGCTTCAAGTAGTTTACCAGTTAATGCTGATGGAAGCTTTCCTTGGCCCCTGTCATTCCAGTCTAGGTTAGTGCCCCTTTTCTATGTATCCACAGCATCGTTCACCAGCTAAAACACCCCTCTCATTTGATCTTACTCACTACTGTGTCTAACCTGGGTCGTCTGTGGAACTTAGTAGCTAGTCACTCGTGTTCTGTGAATGGATGAGATCTGCAGTTGTCAAAAATGCATTTTAAATCTAGTGCTGCCACTTGGTTGCTGAGTAGCCCTGGGCAAGTTACTTAAACTTTTTGAGACTGAGTATGTTTACCTGTGAATTGAAATAATAATAACTCGGTACCTGAACATGGCTGTTGGGAAGATCAGGTAAGATGGCATGAGTATTTGTGAAATGCTATCTGATTCAAATATTAGGTAAATGTTATTATATTTTTAAATAAGGATTTGTTTGTTTAGAAAGTTAGCCTTAGAGATAAGGAGAGAAAGAGGGATCTTTCTTCCACTGGTTCACTCTCCAAATGACCACAGTGGCAGGAGCTGAGCCGATCAAAAGCCAGGAGCCAGGGTTTTTTTCTGGCTCCTCCACCAGAAGAAAGTGAATGCAGGGGCTCAAGAACTTGAACCGTCCTCAACTGCTTTCACACCCTATCAGCAGGGAGCTGAGTCAGGAAGTAGAGCAGTCAGGATTAAAACTAGCACACATACTGGATGCTGGTGCCACAGGCAGAGGATTAACTTGCTACTGTGCCACTGTACAGGCCCCTAATTAGTTATAATTAAGGTGTAGTACTTAACCTGAATCTAAAATGGCTACCTTGGGTCCAGTATTATTATTAGAAGGAATCTACCCACCGACATGGTGGTACAGCACGCTGATCCACTCTGCAGTGCTGACATCCCATATGAGCTTCATCCAGGTGTCCCAGGTGGCAACAGGGGCCCAAGCGCTTGGACCATCTTCTGCTGCTTTTCTCAGGCTGTTAACAGGGAGCGGAATCAGAAAAGGGGCACCATTACAGGATGCCAGCATTACGTGCAGTGGCTTTATCTGCTGTGTCACAGTGCTCACCCCGGGTATCATGCTTTTGAGTATTGCTTTAGCAATGTAAACGCACCGCGAATCTGTGTGGCAGATATCAGCTTCTCCATTTTACAGAGGTGGAAACTGAGGCTCAAAAAGATTTAAGTAATGTTTTCAGCTACTAAGAGGCTGCCATTTCTTACTCTTGATCCTGCCCTTTCTGTTCCTTGACTAGAACTTTCTGATTTTGGCCCAGGCAAGGCTTACACGTAGCAGTCAGGAGAACTTGTCTTTCATCCATCTCCAGCTGCTGAACCTTTTCCCTAAGAAGTAGTTTTCATCATCATGAGGCACTGTTTCAGTAATTTGGTTTGCCATGTTTCGTGCGATCTGGAATAATTTAGAAAGTTTTTAAATGTAATAAGTTCTGTAACATTTACATTTTGAAGTTTATTTTCTGAAACCATTGACAATTCTTTTTCAGGGAGATTGGCACAATTGTCAGGTCCCTAGGATGCTGCCCCAGCGAAGGCGAGCTCCATGATCTGCTGGCAGAGGTGAGTGGCGTGGGTGGAGGGAGCTTTTAGAGTGGACCCTCTGCAGCTCAGAACGCCCTGGACTACTCAGGGTGCTCAAGAAAACATGCGAAATGCTGTGCCTATCAGTCAGCCAGCGGAATCTGAAACAGGACCAGCCTGAAAAAATGACTGTGAGCCAGTACTCCTGAAGTCCCCTTTAGGTATTATCCCCTCTTTCTAGCATGACTGACTTGATGCAGAACAACTGCTGGCAGATGGCAGGAAGAGAGTAAATCGATTAGCCAAAGGGTTTCAGTGCGAGTGGTAAGCAGAGGGAAGGAATGCATAATACCAGTTAGTGATGTTGTCAGGAAACAGGATCTCAGAGAGCTTCGAGATGTTGATTGGCTTCGTTCTGCAGTCCTGGAATCGGGCAGCACTGCATTCTGTGGAGTGAGCGGAGAAAGAGCCCATGAGCTGAGCAGGAGAGGCTGGTTTTATAGACAGAGAAGGGCTGAAGGGAGCAGAGATAGGACCCGAGAGCAGATTGGTTGTTTCAGCATTGTTTTCTGTTGAAGGTACAGGCAGCCGGCAACCGAGTGGGGAAATTTCAGTGTCATGCCTGATGAAGGACATTGGTGGTTATTTCATTCTTGATATTTGGGCAGGTCAGGAAACAGCCTAGATGGGTGATGTGTGGAATTTTTTTGTGTGATTTTTAAATCTATCTTGATTTTTTTTAAGATTCATTTATTTTTATTACAAAGTCAGATATACAGAGAGGAGGAGAGACAGAGAGGAAGATCTTCCATCCGATGATACATTCTCCAAGTGACCACAACGGCTGGCGCTGTGCCGATTGGAGCTAGGAGCCAGAAATTTCCTCTAGGTCTCCCACACAGGTGCAGGATCCCAAAGCATTGGACCATCCTCAGCTGCTTTCCCAGGCCACAAGCAGAGAGCTGGATGGTAAGCGAGGCTGCTGGGATTAGAACCGGCACCCATATGGGATCCAGAGTGTTCAAGGCAAGGACCTTAGGCGCTAGGCCACGCCACCGGGCCCTAAATCTATCTTGATTTTTAAAAGGTCTGGTGTGATGGGGCCTGATGCAGTAGTCTAATCCAAACAAAATCCTCCTGTAATTTTAAAAAATAATATAGTAAATTTGCTGGAGAGAGGAAACAGTGAATGAGCAGCCCAAAGCCCGAGAGCTTCTTACTCTGCTTGGCTTTCCTTTCCAAAGGTCTTGGATCTGATTTCAAGTGCAGTTTCAGCTTCACGAAGCAGTGGCCTTCATGGGAAGAGTTGCCTGGGCCACCAGCAGAACCACCTTCTGCAGACTGCTTATCTAGTCATGGGGCTTTTGGAGGAAGTTAGGGCTTAGCAAGGAGGATTAGTGAGGAAGGCAAGGAAGGAAGGGTTTGTCTCCTAGTCCCTGTCCCTAGCACAGTGTTAGACAAAAGAAAATGCGGCTTTGGATGAGTCATGTCCCAGTTTGCTTCAGAGATAAGTAATGTTTAAGAAGACTTGTGACATGTTTTGAATTAGAAAGAAGGATAACCATAGCCCAAGCATTAGCACTTTGATAACTAGAAAGCAGTACCAGTTTTCCATTGCATTTAAACATTTGATAAAGAAATCTAAGTTTTCAGAATGTATTGTTCTCTATCTGTAGGGGATTCAGTATGTTAGTTTTTATTAAGAATAAGAGAAAATGCTTATTTTCCTTGAGAGGGTTTGCACATTAAAATTGTTGCTCAAGGCAGTTGTTGTGGCGTGGCTGGCAACAATGGCTACATCCCATGTGGTTGCTCGTTCAAGTCTCAGCTGGTCCACTTCTTTTTTTTTTTTTAAAGATTTATTTATTTTTTATTAGAAAGGCAGATATACAGTACAGAAAGCAGGAGAGACAGAGAGGAAGATATTCCATCTGATGGTTCACTCCCCAAGCGGCAGCAATGGCTAGAGCTGAGCCAATCCGAATCCAGGAGCCAGGAGCTTCTTCCAGGTCTCCCACACGGGTACAGGGTCCTAAAGCTTTGGGCTGTCTGCGACTGCTTTCCCAGGCCACAGGCAGGGAGCTGGATGAGAAGTGGGGCTGCTGGGATTAGAACTGGCACCCATATGGGATCCTGGCTTGTTCAAGGCGAGGACTTGAACCACTACACTGTTGCTCTGGGTCCCGGGCTGCTCCACTTCTGATCAACATCCTGCTAGTGCACCTGGGAAAGGAGTGGAAGATGGCCCAAGTCTTAGGATTTCTGCACCCATGTGGGAGACCTGGATGGAGTTGCTAGCTCCTGACTTTGGCCTGGCCCAGCTCTGTCCATTATAGTCATCTGGGAAGTGAACCAGCAAATGGAAGACACACACTCTCTCACTCTGCCTTTCAAATAAGCAAATAAGTATTTAATAAATTACCCTTAAAATGTTTATCCACAAACTGGAATTGGTGTTAGAAAGAGGTAGACTAGCACTGTGGAAGAAGTAGGAATTGAAAGATGATTCCCAAGGAAATACGGTTGTTGCCTGAAGTGGAGTAAGTGGAGCAGCATGAGAAAGGCCTGTGGGAGTTAGGAAAGGAGCTGTGGGTGTAGGTCCCTGGTGGATGGTTTTCATCTGAATTTGGGGTCAGAAAACCACGGCCTTTGGCCAGATCTGGCCCACCCCCTGCATTTGTAACTAAAATGTCACTGTAACCCCGCCACAGTCTTATATATTTTTACATAATTTGTGGCTCTTTCCTCACCACCAGGACAGAGGTCAGGAGCTGGGCCAAAGATGTATGGCTTGCAGAAGTTCAAGTCTTTACTGGCAGGCCTTTGACAGAAATGCACCAAATCCTCACTGCTCTCTGTGATGACGTGGCAGCAAGTTCACACCTCGTGTGCAGAGAGCTGGGCAGAGCCCATGGCTCCACATGGGGCTCCGTGGTCGTAGGTGAGCCGCCTCATCCTTCACAGCCTGCTGCCCTTGTGCAACAGGAATGTCGTGGTACCACAGTGTTGTCACCAAGGTTAAACTTGGTAACTGCGAGGTGTCAGTATTTCTTGGTGGGGACTCAGTCCATGTTTATGCTTGCTCTGTAGGTAACCCTACCAAAATTTCTCCACTGGTTTGGGCACTTAGCCAGAGTGGATTACTGGGTCTCAAAGTTTCATTTTGTCGTTGTCCTGTCCTTAGGTAAAATGACACGACCTGTGCAAATGACAGATGTTTAGAACACATCTTACTGTGTGGGAGGCTTACTGAGCTAAGCTGTGTGCATGCTTTTGTATCGTTGTATAGTAACGCAATGGATTCTAGTGCAATTCTAGTGGTATGCTTAAGCAACTGAGTGTGATATCCTTGTGTGACTTTCCTAGGTAAATGGGGAGTGAGGGGAAGCATTCATATTAGTATTTATCAAATACAGTTAGGAAATCACAACTCTACTGAGTGTAAACATTTAGACTTAACTGTCATAGTGCTAATCCCTTGTAGCAAGTTCTGTTGAGCAGACCGTTTAAACAGGCTTTAATGAATGCTTTATAATTCTCTAGTTGACATGTAGTAGTTGAATTTTAGTGGATATATACATTTCACTGTAATCTACATAACTTTCTGCCATTTGCTTTCTGAAGGTGAATTTGAAATATATTTTTCATGCAGCAGAATATTTTAAAAAACTCAACACCAACTCATCCTATTAATATTCTGTGACAATAACTAGCTCCAAGTCATTTCTGCCTGTTTGCAGTATCACAAAAACTGGCAGCTGTGAGAAGTGTTACCAAAGAATCTTCCTTCAGTGTTAAGTTCTAGCCAGCCACCTGCATCTTCACTGTGTTAGAGCTAGGAGAGAAGGCATGTTAGTGAAAATGGAAAGGATATTGGGCAGTCTACATCCTTGCAGTCCAAACCTATGTGAAATTATGGAGACCTGAACCTAATTACAAAGGAGTGCTAAAAGATATTCTAAGAATAAGGCCTAAGCTGGTAAGATGATTGACTCAGGCATAGGAACTAAGCAAGGGTTCTGCTTTGGGGAAGGGTCACCACCCCCAGCCTCCTGCTTCCCTTTGCTGCCATTTGAGCTGTAGATGGCGGATGATATGCTTTTTGCCTGGCTAACTGTTGTGCTGTTAAATATACTATACTCTGTTAACCATCTGTACAGCTACCCCTTACTCCCGCTTCTCTCTCACTGGTCGTTATCTGAGGCCTTTTAGCTTTGCGACTAAACAGCTAATTCTGACTTGTTATGGGTGGAAACAGTTGGCTGGCAAGTCATTCCATTAGATATGAACAAGCCAGGTGTGTGGTTGCGTGTTTTTACAGCCCTGGCCAGCAAAAGAGGCCATCTTAGGGCTCAGTGGTGCTAGTACCTCTGCCCACAACGTTTCTTGTATCCATGGGGAGTGGTTTGTGGTAGGAGCCCTCCCCTCGAATAATCTCCAGAGAGTCTTAATGTATCCATTCCAGCTGCCCACTTCCATCTGCTCAGCCTTTCTACTTCAGCCTTTGATAATCATTTGTTGCAGATCCCCAAGAGCCACCTCCTTGCGGGAGGTTTGCCCCATCTCCTGGAGTCCTTGCCAGGGTGTTAGATCCTGTGACAGTGCCCAAAGTCAGTGAATTTCCACTTGGCCAGTCTTTTGTTCTTGGTCAAACACTGTTCCAGTGGCAGTAGTACTCCCCAAACTCTTTCCAGTGTGTGCTTTGCTATCTCAGTGTCATCTCTTCCCTCCCATAGCAGAGCTAGCACTTCCCAGCCAGGTTGTGCTGGGTCTTAATCCCCAACCTTGCAGTCTACCTGCTAGGAGAGGAGGTGGCCCAGCACAGAGTAGGACTGCCTCCTGCTGGGGAAATGTGAGGGCATGCCAGGGTGTCCTGGTCTACCCAGCCGACACCCTCAGGGCCCTACATTGATCTCTCCATCCTGTATTTCAATGTGTCAGGTTTTGCAATAAGGAAAAATCTTTACCCATCTTGGTAGGGAATTTAAACATCTCTGGATGTCTTCTGCCTTATTTGCAGTGTTAAGCATGTCAAATTA